GTCAGTTTCAACTTTACAAGTAATACTAAAATTTACAATAACAAACACTATCTCTTTATAGTGACATGCTTATAATTACATTATACAATCATGATTGCTTCTTTAAATAATCAGCTGTTCAGAAACATAAACATTATCTTGAAAAACAGACAAAAAGTCCTGCTCTATCCTATATCAAAAAGATTATAACATACATGTTTAGCATGATCAGCAACCCAACTCATAGGTATATCTTTAACAGATCTGATATATATATTTGCTACATCCTGTTCTGTAGACACTGTGGAACTAATTAATGTTTCTTCCACGACATTTTTAGTGAGAGGAGGTGGTGTTTTTGCTAAATGTACAATATAGTCCTTTTGCCCAGCACTCTGTAATATCAAATAATACAACTTATCATAAAATTTAATACCATGCATCTGCAGAGAAGAAGAGAGAATCAAATTTCTTTGCCCTCAGATCCAATGATTGAGGAAAAAAACATAAATATGTAAGAATCACTGCTTGAGTTTTGTATTAATATAAAGTCAATTATAAAATACATTAATATCATAAAATTACGTGATTTTCATTTGGCTTATCGCACGTTAAAAATGAGAGTAATGTGCGATCGACATAGAGAAACACAGAGGTAAATCAAACCTGTCCTAAAATCAATCCTATCACGTATCCATCTGGTTTCGCTAACGATGTTAAATATGTGCGAAGATGCTCCTCAACATAAACTGTTCGTCCCATTATTTCCGTGTACTATCCTCCTGAATTTCTTTTGATATAAATCTGCATAAATCGCAACAATTCGCGCGCGGTGAAAATTTTTTGTACGCGTGTAATCTAAAGAAAAAGTTACATGATTGCTGATTGCTACACTATCCACAGGACACACCACACCACACCACCGTAGTCACCACCAGCGACCATACCAGACCATACGACATACGACACAACGACACCGCTGGCACGGCGCACAGTGCACCACAGTGCACACCGGTGACGGGTGAGTGGTGACAGGGTGACACGTGACACGCCGCGATTTCTCTTTTTTTCACAAGTTTCAGAACGCACTGAACGCACTAAACGCATTCATAGCCAGTGTTACCGTAACGAAATAAAATGTACTAACATCTAGTGGCAAAAAGTAAAAAACGTATATTACTAACATCTCATGCATTTTTATTTCAGCATGACGATTAAACGCTGAAGGTAAAATAGATAAAGAAATCTGTAATTTGTGTTTTCTCAGCTTTGAACACAAAATACACCAGCGACAAGTACATTAGCATGTACATATACATACATTTTAAATAGTGGAAAAGGAATTCTTATTCTGTGAAATCACTCTACGACGAAATTCGGTAGGAACAAAAACGTCAAAAATGATGCTAGTCTTATCGATAATACAGGGGCGGCTCCAGCATCCCCTTAAAAATATTCAATATCGTTTTGTTCATTAACGGGGGGTACATATTTATTTATAATTATACCTATATAGATCCAAATTTTAATTCTTTAATAATGCGAACGTTGGCAACACTGGCCTTCATTGTTATTACTTAAGTTTTTCTATGTACATACCATGGCACTATAAACATGATAAAGGTCAGGAAAAAGGTGATAAATGAAACGCAAACGTAGTCCGCGTCTTACTTCATTTGCTGCAGGTAAATATTTGTCTAATATATATGAAGGAGATTTATTTTAAATAAGGAACGGATCAAATATTCGTAAGTACATAGCTGGAACACTGCTCGCTAATAGTACGATTTTGCTTGCAGCATTTCAAAAAGCGCAAGGAATATTTTTATGTATCAAGAAAGGATAATGTACAGTGTATCTCTTCTTTTACTTGTTTTGAGTGTACAGACAGATGGATTTTTGGAAGATCTGTGCAATGTGAGTTAAGCCTGCAATTCTACAATTGCGTAAACGTAGACGTAAGGTTATGGGAGTAGTAGTAGCAGTAAATATACAACATTAATCTACAATCGATCGTAAAGATTCAACGAACTTTCATCTTCAAATTGAACATTGCTCACAACACTTCCTCCATCTTCCATACTCGTGATATAATATATTTGTAATCTAATAAATTCGTCAAATAATATATCATAAAATAAACTCGATAAAAGATGAAAAGGACACTATGCATTTCTTTCCATACGTCGAGACAAAACGGACAATAACGATGTAGACACATGACAACACTCTGATTGGTTCACTTTTACGTTTTCTGCAGTCGTAGTCGTGAAAGATAAAGTTGAACCATTTTTTACAACACACTTTACAACCGGGAATGGCAGGTTAAAACTTCGTTTTACATTTCACAACCATTTACAACTACATTTACGCAATTGTAGATTGGGCTTTACACGACACGTTTTGAAAAAAAAAAATATATATATATATTTTGTATATTAATAATGTATACCTTGTATCTTATTTTATTTTTCAGTACAAGTTTAGAGAAAAACAGCCTAAGGATAAAAATAATTATGACACAATTGAATACAATTCCATGTTTCTTAATTATTGTACTGCCGAAGAAGTTCCTGATCATGAGAGCTATGATGTATTTTTTGATGAAGCCTTGGAAGAAGGAGATTCACATAGTACGTTATTTTTGTAAGATATTTACTAGATATAGACACAACAGAGAAACCACCAGCGTCAGGGCTGTGTGGCTCAGTGGCAGCGTCAAAGTCTACCAACTCGGAGCAGAGACCAGGCCTGGGATCGAGACGAGGAGCGCCCTGATATTTTTCTCTGTTGTCGTCCATTGTTTACATTTTGAAACGTAATACTTTCTCTCTAGAGTGATTGGATCTAATTATATCCATTAATTATCTTTTATCTTTTATCTAAGATTCTTTAAAGGTTCAGTTTGCACCTCCTAAAAGAGAATGCAAGTATGAAATAGCTTTGTTAGTTGATCCTTCCATCAAGAATCAAAAAGAATGTATGGATTATGACTTTGATAAAGTGGTTGATATTAAATCGAACATACATACTGTGGATAGAAGTGTATGTTTTTTTAAAAACACTAATCAATCGGCATTTGTAAGCAATGATAAATCAACAACAGTCTACTTATATAAGGTAACAAATAATACTAATTTGATATGGTGAAATGGTTATATATACATTCTAATTCTGCATATTGTGCGCCAAAACCTTTTTCAGCCTTAAAACATATTCATGAGCAGAACCAGAATAGTAATATATTACTTGTTAAATTAATTAAATTACAGTTTAACAATTTTTTTATGTTAATAAGAGCATCTTTTCATAAGAATATTTACAATCAAATGTAAAAGAAAATCTTAAATTTGTGAATAATTTATTGTTGAAAAATATTACTTTAGCCGGGTATCGAACCTAGATCTCTTGCATTCCGTGAGAGCATTCTTATCATTAGATCACTGAGAATTCAGCAATATTTGTCACAATAACCAATAACATGAAAATGTATGTTTTGTTTAATAAAGATGATGTATGTTAAACAATGTAATAGTTACACAAAATGCTGTAAAATTATATATTGTGTCCTAGTTATATCATGATATATCTATACTCTTCATACATATATATACTCTTCTATCAGGAATATGAAATTTTCAATCACAATTTACAAATTGAGACATTGAGGTCCACAGCACATTTTTTTCGATTATATAAAAATTTGAAAAAAATTCTTGTATACTTGTGAAACAATATTATTGAAGATGACCTAATATAAGGTCGAAACGTTTAACAAAGATATTTATTATGTTTTTAAAAAGTTGGGAAAGTTGGGAAAGTTGGGAGTTCCAGGTTCAGCTAGGATATCCTAGCTGAAGCAATATTTTTTGCAATAAATTATTTACAGATTTTAAGATTCTTATCAGTATCTAATTAGAGCAACTCAAATGTATACACTGTACCTAAAAAAAATTTAATTTATTAAGTATTATTTACTATGTCTAAGGTAAATGAACTATACCAGTAAAAAGTACTGTATTGTCTACTACTATGAAAAAAATATTTAAAACATATTAAAAATTACATTATTAAATTTATTTTGCAGGATAATATCTGGCTATGGTTTAAATATATCTTTACAGGATGCTATGCACTGCGGTATCGCATAAATAATCGGAAATATATAACAGGGCATTCTATATTTTTGAACACTACTTATCAACGAGCGGAAGTTCAAGAACCACAAGTCATTTGTAAATATAAAGATATAGATACGAAGCAATCCGATTCTGAGAAAAAGTATGTCTAATAATAAGATTTTCCTATTACACACTTCTTTATTGACTATATTTTATCAAAATATTTTAGCTCTCTCTAATGGCATTTTTCATAAGAAAAAAAAAACATTTAGAAATGATTTGATGTAAAAAAATTGAGGTAAAAATGAAGATGAAGGAACCCTCTCCCAATGATCTTGACATATGTTATCAAGGTCATAACCCTGAGTGACTTTTAAGAAGTTTTAACCGTCGGTCACGTTAACAAAATTAAAATTTTAGCAAATATATTTTATAAATTATACAATGATGGTCATGAAAATAGAGTCACCTATACAAAAATTAATAAAACAGCTTTTTACCCGTCTGTCTTCATTTGACTTTGTAATGAATAACATTACCGATAAGTGAAAGCAGACCGATAAAATAATTATATTAATTTTTATGTAGATAGCTCTATTTTCATGACCATCACTATACACGTCGATTGTCTTGTTTCACATTGTAAAGTGGACTGACATGCGTGGACTGACTTCACACGAAGCAAGTTCATACACCCTTCTTAGGAGGGTGTGGGATGATATTGGCTTCACCTGGAAAGTGGAATGTCTCTAGGTAGAGGGAAGGTGGGATGGACGCTTCGCGTGAAAAGTTATTAAAAAATTGTAAAAATTAGTCCCATTTATAAAAATTTACTTTGTTAATAACTTTTTAATGACGGTTAAAACTCAAGGTCACTCAGGGTCATAACCTTAACAACATAATTTGGAGCAGTATTCCTTTATCTCCATTTTTAACAAAATTAACTAACTATTGCATATCTATATTTACAGACAAGTTGTAAAAAATTTCACATTAGATATTTTTCTACCAGCAAATACGGGAGATAATCTTCGCCTGGGATTAATATCACCGCGGAATAAAGACCAACAAAAATGTATTTGGCGAGGAGAACCAATATTATACTCGTGGACAATAAGACTGGTACTATTTAATTATCAAAATACAGTTTCTTTTTTTTAAGCAGCTGACATTCTTTAAATTTTTATTTTTAGAAGGTAGTTCGTGTTCCGTACAATGAAATAAGGGATCAACATTGTAGTATAAAATTGGTAAATATTTTTCTTAATCACATCAGAATTGTATATTATTTTCAAGCCATCAAAATATTCATTTCTTATCTATATTTTATATGTGTGTGCGCGCGTGTGTGTGTGTATTCAGATATTTATGTAAATTACATTAAGAAGAACTTTCAAATAGGAAAAGCCAACGGCAAATGGAAAATATATAAAAAGAGTACGTTGTAACTTTCAAATAGAAACGCAAACTGAAGGTCATTGTTTTCGATATCTCCTGAGTGATCGTCGATGTCAGTCAGATACTATATGGAAGCCAGAATGTTTCAGATATTCTAGAGAAGATGGAATATTACATGAAGTGCCATGTTTATGGCTACAGCGTAAGTATGGACATGTAATATTATAAAATAGAGTTAATAGATAACAAAATGGCAGCTTTTCTAATTGATGTATTTTATCAATTGACATATTAGGAAGTGGTTCAAACTTTGCATGTAAATATTTTACAAATGGATTTTTCGTTTAGATATACGGAATAGTTTTACAAATGATACTTTTAGGTTGCACAAAATCTTACGAGCCACAGGACACGATCGTATCGAGACAAATAAAATCAGATATGATGCTGAGTGCAAGTTGGTACCTATTGTTGCCAATTATTGCTATTGTGTTAATTATATCGGCAGTAATTGGAATATTATGTTTCTGGCATTACTCGTGTATTCGAAGGGAAGAAATCAATTTGTATATAAATCCACAACACGATGATTCTGATTATCCTAAATCCATCGATTTCGATATTATTGACAATGTCATTGAGAAGACAATCGATCATGGTAATTCTTCGTGCGATGATATTGTTCTTCTTTACACCAACCATTCGACATCTTTTATGACGTTGATGAAAGATTTTCGTGAAACACTCACCAAAATGTGCTCTTGTTCTGTAAGTTTTGCAGTAGTAATAGTAGATAATATATTCTACATATAACACCATGTAACATCATTTATCATAATTTATAAAATTATTAATCATCTCTTTATTAAAGTTTTCGCATTTGTATGATACAAAGTGATATGACTTGAATATTAAATATGTTTTCTTTACGATTATTCTTAAAGGTGCACGACTGGCATAATGGAACTGTATGGAACGAAGTGGCTAGGGTTGGTACTGTTTCATGGTTTATTAAATTATTTGACAATGGCTGCCGCGTCATTTGGGTAGATACACCATTTACGAGAAGCGTCGTTATATCAAACACGAGAGATAACGAATCAAGCTTAGATAAGCTCAGGAAATACTATGAAATACACGATTTCCGCGATATGTCATTTCGCGCTGTGCTTGAAGTGGCAAAAAGCAAAGTAAACGAAGTCGCGCGTCAGTACCGCAGACATTTTGTCGTAAGGTAAATTCCATAATTATTTTTATGATTTCCAAATTGCGTATGTTCAATTATTCGTGGCATTGCAGATTTGAAGGATTAGAAAGCACAGCAAACGTGAATGATCCATTCTTAGATCTCTCTCCTCACGCGCGATATTACATGCCGCAGCATCTCGTGCAATTGTGTTCGGATTTGTAAGTATATCACATTAAAACTCACAATCAGTATTCTGTAAGATAGTTGGCAATCTGAAAATATTTTCAGGTCGATGGTGAAATCAGAAATTTCTAAAGATAAAATAAACAAGCAAGAAGATTTTCATCGTATTTTCGATATACCAACTTTACAAGTTTCAGACGCAGCATCGTCTGAAATCTCTAAGAGTGAAATGAACAATATGAAATAACCATAAGTTATTTTAAGCTTCCAGCTTTAACCCAAATCCACGACTATCCAACACAACGAGATCTTATTCGTGTTTTCTTAACGCAAAATGTAATTACACATGCACAAAGGAACCCATTAATCATATGAAAAATTAGGTTTCGATGAAATGAGTTTTTATACATAATGTAACTTGTAATATAGTAAAAAAATGTTAAAAGCTCAATAATGGATAGTTTTTGAATCATGGTGTATGAAAGATGTAATACTTGTGCTCACAAAGCACCTTGAGGATACATAATAACTCAAAAATTATCCATTGCTGATCCTTGTATCTATAATGTCTTTTGTTCATCACGTTATTAGTCATTTTATGTATGAAAAGTAATTCATTTCACTGGGACCTAATGTTCTATATGATTAATGCGGAGTCCTTTATTGTGTAATATCAAAAATACTACCTCAAATTATATGTATAAAAATTGTATAAGACAATATACAATTTTGATAAATATGGTATGATTACATTCACACGGTACTCTTAATCGGGTTTAATAACATTCATAGTTATGAAACTAGCCAATCATAGTTGTTTCTGCGAAGAATGGAATGACTACAGTTGGCCAGTTTTATCGTTATTCATCGAATGTTATTACATCTGATTAAGTGTGTCGTGTAAGTATAGTCTATAAATGTCTTTCGACAAGATTAATATATGCAGCAAATATAAATAGTGATTTATATTTGCTGTTTATTTGATTCCTTTTTCAGTATATTGATGTAAAGACGATCATATTCTCAGGATTAATTATTTATAAATTGATCGTTAAATGCGATTTTGTATAATCACTATGCGATTAGTTCAAGTTTTAACTAAACTTTATATACATTTATTACGTTGATATAAAAAAGTATATACATATAATATATATATATATATATATTTTTAATAAAAAAGACTAAAAAATATAAAAAACTTGTTTATCAATTAATCTTTATTACGATGATTCTTATTTCGTGTTATCCATAGCTCTTATAAAGCATATTATTAATTAGCACTCTAATTATTCTGTATTTAAAAGTATATTAAAAAATCAATAATTTACGAGATATTTTATACTTTATTCTGGCACATTTTGATATGACATATTAACATTAAATACCTCGTAAACTATTAATTTTTTGATGATCGCACCTTGATATTTTCATAAACAGAATATTGAGATGAATCAATTGATGTAAACAAAACATAATTGCTTATTTAAAAAATTATCCATTTTGCCTACATATTTTTTAGAGCAACTATGTATCTTTTTTACATCAATCGAGTCATCTCATCATTAAATAAAAAAAATAATGTTTTACGAAATATTTATTATTTCATGTCATTATGTGTCAGAATAAAATATAAAATATTTCGTAAACTATATTGATTTTTTGGTATGTCTGTTTTAATACTTTTATATGCAGACTAATTAAAGGAATCATATTATGTAAAAGAAATAATATAATTCCATTAAAAAAAATCACCAAAAAATCTCGAGGCACGTCCATCTAGAGAGGATCTGTGACCATCAAAAGATGTCCCTCTCGAAACAAAATAAGTTTCACTCGAAACATTTTTTTGAATAACGAGAATAGTTTGAGAGATAATTACGTCCGAAGCTTCAAATGGGACACTCTGTGTATATATACACACGCATCCCATGATATCCCATAATTTCATATTACAGAAAGAAAAAAAAATATACATATATATATTCTGTAATATGAAATTATAATGTACGTCAGAGTGATTTATTTTAATTTATTCACTGAAATATTTCAAAGTCTTATAAGTTTTAAAAGGAAAGTTTTTAGATAAAAATTGTATGCTCTGGAGGGACATGAATAACGATAAAATTAATTTTTGAAAAAAATTAAAAAATTTTGTTTAAGATTATCGTTATTTTTAAAATAAAAGTATATGATTTTTTTTACATATCAAATATAATTCCTTCAATGACACGACAAATAAAAGTATTAAAGTAGAATTAAAAAAAAAATCGTACGAAAATATTTTTATACTTGATGTCAAAATATATGTGCCAATATAAAATATCTTGTAAGCTATTGATTTTTTTGATAATTCTACTTTCATACTTTTATATAAAGAATTATTAGAGAAACATTATGTAAAAAATCATATAATTCCACATTGAAAGAATCGCGATGAACTTTATATAACTTTGAAAAATTAATTTTACAATTTATTCATCTCCCTCGATCTAGATCATTCAACTTTTGTGTCTATAAAGTTTCTTTCTAAAACTTGTGTTTTGAAATGTTTGAATGGTTAAATTAAACACATATTGCTTATATTGTATAATAAATATGAATATATATAAAATTATTTTTATATGATTGTATACACACATCTCCAGAAGAAAGAGTAAACTTGGAATGGAATAAAATATAAATAATTGAGAAAAATATATTAATGGACACGTGATGTATGCACAAATTATTTAATAGACTTTAACGAACGCGCACGTTTACTGTTTCTACGACATCATCGGATCTCACACACGAGATAGGAAGATGTTTTATTTGAAATTGCACGTAACGAAAGGCCATTTCATGCAATCTGTCACACAAAGAGCATATCTCGTTCGCGTTGCTCTGAAAGAGAACTAATTACCGCGTGAGAGAGTAACACACACCCGCGAGTATACGGAGGCGCTTTGGAAATATATATGTTATGTAGTTTATTGAGCGGTTGATTAAACATTAAGTAATGCGGCAACGGTTAAACAATCTCCATTATTGTCGAGGATAATTTTATAACTGGTGCCTTTCGAGCCACCTCTACGGGCAGCACGGCCCGTAAAATTTGAGGTAATGACCTCGATACTGCTGACGAAATCCAAATTTGACGTCACAGCTGTTTTAGCGCGAACGCAACGCTTTCCACCAGGGCTTCGTCTTCGCGATTGACCGCATATTTCGGATCGCATTCGGATCGGATTCGCGAACGTTAAGATAAATTCAACGATAACGGCGAAATATTACCGCGACTTAATAAAACAGTCGCGATCGAGAATACGGCGGTGGCGCGAGTTTGCATTCGACAATTCGCGTGAGATGAGTTACTTAATTTAATTCTTTCTTTGATGATAATCGAGATCTATCCAAATTAATTAAAGCCTGATCCACGCGAATTGTCGAGATGTATATGTGTATATATATATCTTGGTCGCTGTTGGGAGAAAGAAGGGAAAGAGGAGGAAACGTTGAAAAATATTTCTACACGCGGGTGGCGACGGGTGGCGGCGGCGACGCGGCGGTGACGGATGGACCTGACGGATAATAATTGGAGTCATCTTCCTCTCGATATGATCGCTCTCTCAATAAAAAGTAATTATTGTGTCGTCCTTTTGACATAAAAATCGATCGAGGGGAAGCCTAGATGAGGGCGGAGAAAACAAATTGGGGAGATACCTATTACGTGCGTACAAACGACCCGTGGCAGATAATGAATTCGATTGTTTGCTGGTGGTATTATCGCCCTACTCCCGGTAATAACGGCGGCCAATCGGGGAAAGGGAAGAGCGCCCGCTGTTACACATTCGAAATATATATAAATGGACCAATAACTGTTATACCGCTGTTCAGTCGTGTCCCTCGATTCGCCAGTAGTTGACAAACTGCTCCTCTTCCTTTTTCCTCCCCCTTTTTTTTCTTTTCGCCACCTTCGACTCACTACTCACCGCGGTACGGCACTCACCACCGAGCGCACTATCGTCTGAAAAATCGCAACGCTCGCATTATTCCACGCACATTGAAGGTAAGTCACACATACGCATGTTCTCCCAGCAGTCCCAGCTTCAATCGCGCGAAACTATATCTAACCCGATAAGCGCACCGAATTCAATTATTCGTTTGATGCATACTGTATTTGTAATTTATCGGCGATACGATACTTGCGAATTCTCTCCGTGTTAAACACGCAACGTTTTAGCTACTTTCGGGACGGCTTCGCGTTTTTATATTTTTGTATAGTTTTCCGCAAGCCCGATTGTCAAAAATTCCTCAAAGAAACAATCGGATTTGCTTCGAACGGTTTATGTAAGTACGTATAAGCATGAGCGACAAAAGATTTCTCTTGCAAATCTCCCTCGCGAGGAGGTCGGATAAAAGCTACGAAAGGCGTCGAGAGCTTTCCGGCGAAAGAAGTAAAGAAGTAAGAAGTAAGAAGAAAAATGAAAGAGAGCAAAGACATCCGCATCAATGGAGCGTGCCTTTCGCGCACGTGTCGTTTTGGTCCGCTTCCCTCAGCTTCCCTCAGCTTCCCTCTCCATCCAGCAAGGTGGCAAACCAATCCGGGTTAAAACGGCTGATGCAATCACCAAGAGCTACGGAAGAGCGCATCTATCGCTCTCTCTCATTCGCGTACCTTTTTTTCAGCGGTCGGCCGCGCGAGACACGAGATATTAAGGCGGTTGCTCGATTCGGTGTAAATTAATCGCTATACTTATTCGCGCGTGCATACAGGGTGTTTCCTCGCTAAGCGCACCTCTGAGTCAGCGCTTCCCTCTCTCGCAGGAAGGTATACAGTATCTACACAGTTCTCTGATCGTGAGCGATCGAGGAGTCTTTCGTCAACTAAGCCACGACGCATGGGACGAGCGGACGATAAGATTCCTTCCTCCGTTATTTTCAGGTAGAAATTTTCTTTCAACTTGGACATAATTATACGTATATTACACATCTTTTACTTCATCTTTTGGAGAGTTGAGCTGCATTCCGACGAATACTGATTCGCTCCGAAGGAGAATTATTATTTATAGATATTCTTTGACAATGCTAGTAAAGACAAAGTTTCATCAAGGATTGATGCGACTCGGGAGGATCCGCTTAGCGAGAGACACTATATGTATATACATATTGTATATAATATCTAAAATATAAGGAATATATATATATATATGTTGTATCAAATATTTCTTCAGCGTGAAATCTTCCGTATATCATTATCCAGTCCTTCGGACTTGAAATTCTGCAGTCAGTTCGATGTTGCTGTGGAGGTAGACAATTAATTCGGTATATATCGTCCAGACTTTGCGAGGACAAGTCCTTGTCCTCGGTTCCGGAAAAATCTCCGGACATCTTGTACATGTACTTCCTAATAATTATTAACGATTAACGATACGTATTACATTTCGCAATGCTTTCCGTAAGTAACTGATTCTTTCCAGATGCAGCTGTGCCTCGCCTATCTTTTGACGCTCGTCGTCGCGACCGACGTAGCCTTCGGAAGTCCTTTGACATTTTTCCTGATGACAAATGCATCATACACGCGGGCAAACGTCGATCAGTTCAGCGCACCGAATAGACTGAAAAATGAGATTAAATCAGCCGGCATGAAAAAGGTATATTCCGTTGCTCCATAACGGAAACACATTTTTCTTCAACTATATAACAAATTGCAACACTTGAATTTAGCATAAATACAATTAACTTGCATAAGTAATGAACAAAAGTGTGAAAAATAAGATTGCGAAATATAAAATTATTTAAAATCGTAAAAGAATATGGCTCGATTAAAATCAAATTAAATGATATAATAGAACTACGAGCACGTACAGATTTTTTTTATTTTCAAATTAATAACAATAAACAATACAATTTACGAACGTTTCAATACCGATCGGGTCATTATCAGTGTAAGTCGGAGATTTTAAATCATATGAAAATTATGTCAAATTATGAAAAAATTATGTCAAATTATGTCAAATTATTTCAACATTAGAAAAAATGGATCATGTTCTAGTTACGGGTTACCGTCAATTCTATTCATCATTTGAACCAACGAATATTAAGTTATAAATTTGTTTAACTTTTCATGATCCCTCTTTTGTATTTCATCAACTAAAAGAGTCACATCGCGTGGCTTTTGACTCTGTTCTACACACAACGAGTCGAATTCTCTCTTTTCGTTTTGTATCTATAATTTCTCCGTAATATTATATACATATCTTCGTTTTATAGAGCGGCTTTACGACAACGTGGACCAGAATTTTGCAGAATCCGCCGGATTCCTTAGAAGTTGCCGTCGGGTAAATATATACTGCTTCGATATAAAGTAACGATTTTAGTGCACACATAGACGCGAAAGTAACGTGATCGCATTCCTTTCGTGTTCATTTAGGAGTCGCGTCGAACTGCAATGCGAGGTAGTTGGAAATCCGCCGCCCCAGGTTTATTGGATAACAGGAAATGAGCCGGAAAGGCAGGTCGGTCTCGCTAATTAATGCTGAGAAAGATATCCTCGGTGATTTATGATAAAGGAGTTGTATAACAACGTGCTCTCTTTATACATACCGACACACGCACGCACGCGCGCGCTACACACATGCACGCACGCACGCACACGTACGTACGCGTATGTATATATACCGTTCCTCTTGCAGATTCAGGAATTGACCGCGCGGGCTCAAGAAACGAGCAACGATATATCCACGGAATGGGAAGGGCTTAGTCAAATCACTTCCACATACGTGATCGATTGCATCAGGGTTGAAGATCAAGGTTTAAAGTATTGCGTGTCCGTATCTAAGAATGTAGTGGTTCAATCGACGCCGACGGTACTCCTCGTTAATAGTAAGAGATACAACAATATATTTCGTTATTCAACTGAATAGATGTTATCTATCAGGAATTGTTTGATTGTATTGTCTACATCTACTAGGCACCAAGGCTACCGAATGCAACAGTGAGAGTCAGCCTACTATCACCTTGCATGCCTCTTGGAGATTCGCTCTTGATGAAAGCACGGTAATTCTTCCATGCAGAGTCGTGGGTCAACCGGCGCCTTATCTATTCTGGTTAGATAGTTCGAGCAAAATCATAAGTCCCACCACGCACACGAGACACACTATTCTACCTAGTGGCGATCTGCAGATAACGGATCTTGATTGGCCCGACATGGGTGAATATACTTGCAAAGTACAATCGGGATATACGGAGAAGAGCATCTCCACATTTTTATATCCTGTGCTTCCTGTACGTACATAATTAACTTTTGTAAATTTATCTCTCTCTCTCTCTAGTACAGATATTAGATACCTTTATGTGTATCTTATGTATCTAATGCCTTTAAAAGCATATCGATTAATTGAGAGAGTCTTAACGTTATAAAGCACAATCTCAAAATATATTTAATCCAGATAATTCCTTTTTAACTGCAAAATACGTACTCTCTTATATTTTTTGTTTCAGACATCAAAAGGCAAATGATAAATTCCGTGTAAAAAGGCTTCAAAAGATTCCTGTATTTTTAATGCCTTTTGCCATAAGTGACCAAAATCTATTACACTTATCATTTGTTTATAAAAATAGAATGTAATTTAATTAGAAATATCACGTATTAGAGAACAGTACTTTTTTTTTGTTATATTTACGATACCAGTGCTTGTCCTCGAAAGCTCGATATTCGAGCGACAGATTCACTTCTTACGCGTCGGATTATACAAAAAAGTTTTCTCTTATACTCATATCGAAGAAAGTTTGTAAATGAGTCGAGTATATAGTTTTAATAAATGTGATCTACACCATCTACGCTTAAAAAAAAAAATGTTTACGCCCACTATATTTATCATAAAAATCTTGAAACATATTTTTAGCAGACTAACTTTCTTTGTTTCATCGACGTCCATAACGTATTTTAAACTATTTAATTTTATTACATATGCTATTTAATTGTATTTACACTTTATACAAGATTTATAATTTATAAATTTGTAATGAAATTTACAATAAGAGTAATTAATGCGAATAATATGTACATTACTTACCACTCATGATTTTCCATTAGGCTAACTCCAAATAAATATTACGTTCAATCAATTCGTTAAAATAAAATATAAGCTTGTTTTATATCTTTCACTCTCCTTTTATCTTGCAGTTAGGCTTATTAGTTGTAATGGTTATAATTATGTCAAGTATAAACAAACGGAAACGGTTTACTTATTAAATCGGTTTATTAAGCAGAAACAATATCTCTGATTAAAAGTTGTGTTATTACTTTTGTCAAAATTAATAATAAAAAATGATTTATTCTAAGAGCGGAATCACAAGTTGAATATTGCATCTGTTGCAAAGGCCATCAATAAATACTATTGTTCTATGTAAATGTATTTATGACGATACAGAGTAAAGTCTAAAAATTATATGGGAAAAATAGTATGTGAAACGCACGTACAGAGTATCACGCATATCCCAGTATCGAGTAAAGTCACGTAATATACGGGACATCTGCCCAAGATGTTCGGAGATGCATACGGAGCGGGATGAGAGATAAGAGGAGAGGGTAGACGAAAGAAGTGAGGCATTAACGCTTATGGGGTTTCGTTAGAATCACTTCTCCATATTACGGGTACGGCTCTCTAATAGTCGTAATGGAGAGTAGTGTAAATTACTCAATTACACGTACACACACTCTTTTTACTCATTTACCTTTAGTGGCTCGTATCGCCTTGCATATTTCAATCCACGGGTGTCCGTAGGAACTGCAAACGTCACACACGTTATTAGTCGAGCTCGAAGATGGTTTTTGTTGACTAGCTTGATGATGCCCGGGTGTATTCGGCGACGAGGAGCCCTCTCTTTTTGATTTGCACGTAGTCGATGAGAAACGACGAGGGAAATCGATTGTGGAAGGCGGCGGGGAAGCCGGCGCGCGTGTCTTGCGCGACGGCAACGTTGCTGAATTGTACGGCAAGTTTGACGAGGGTAGACCGGCAGAGGGCAATCGTTCCGACGACGGCGACGATTTCGCCGTCGAGCGGATCGATCGGCAGGATGGTGAGGACAGGCGCATACACCGCAGAAGGTTGAGTCAATCGTTGACCAATCCTTGGGAGACGCTAATCAGCTGCTCTTTCAGGACGCGGAAGGACGGTCGTACTTCCGGAGAGTGAGCCCAGCATTTGCGCATCACCTGGAATCAATCAAATCCATAAGCTCGTGTTTCTATACACAATATACGAGAAACGCCACAAGTTACCTACCTCATACACTTCCTTGAAACACGCTTTAGGTCGTTCCAAAATAATTCCTCGCTGCACTCGCTCGACGACTTCCGTATTCTTTAAGCGACCGTAAGGCATCTTTCCGCACGTAAACACTTCCCACATAAGTACTCCGTATGCCCACACATCCGATTTCGAACTGAAGCGCGTGTAGTTTAAAACTTCCGGAGGCGCCCATTTAATAGGAAATTTAGTGCCACCGCTACTGGTATACTGATCATCGAGTACATACCTGAAAATATTCATCACCTCAGTCAGTTAAATTTTAATACTCGCTTATACTGAGCTTTCTACTTTTGTAAAATGTAGGAATATAAAAATGAAAAATTAAATAGTTTATACCTAGCTAAACCAAAATCTGCAACTTTTACTACATTTTCCGATCCCACGAGACAATTACGTGCTGCAAGATCCCTGTGTATATAGTTGTGCCTCTCTAAATATGCCATTCCTTTGCAAACCTGTACAAAGAAATGTAAATACCATAGGAGATTCGGAAAATCTTGATAATTAGAATTCTGTTGATAACCGCCACATGATGTAACATGTTCTCTGTACTGTCTGCAGGACGGAATTTGCGTTACCTGTATACACATATCTAACAAGAGGCCAACGTTTGCACCTAATGAGGTTTCATGACGGCGGAGGTAGTTGAGAAGAGATCCATGTCGCATGTATTCCGTGACAATATATATTGGTCTATCTTTACTGCAAACGCCGTATAGCTGGACTAGGTTTTGATGTTGCAGTTTTCTGCACAAACGAATAAAATTTATTATGATAAACGTATTTTAAAGAAATCGATATTGATATTATTTAGAGAATAAATTGTAACATTATAAAGTTTTTGATTGAATTCAAAGGATTTCAGTTTCGGATGTCTATTGAAAGTCTCGATGCGGAAAATAGATTGAGACTTACGTCATTACTTTAGCTTCTTCTATAAAATCATCCTCGGACATGGTTCCCTCTTTCATCATTTTCACGGCGACATCGATAGAGCCGCGCCATTTTCCTCTCCGCACGACTCCAAATTGCCCGGACCCGAGCTCCTCCAGCAAATGTAATTCCGCTGGGTCGATTTCCCATTTGTCTGTAAAAAGGCCGCCAGCCGTTATGTAGCGTCATATAGAGAAAAACTTTTCTTGATATCTCCTCTTATGCGTGTTTTATATATGAAATATATCAATATTAAGGAATGGAGAAAGTGTACGCGTATATATAAATTAAATTTTACATACCATGACTGAGGCCAGCAGTCGGTGGTACAGGACGATCGCAGGGGCTGGTCTTTAATCGACTGGCTAGACCACCGCTGTTGTGTCTATGATAATTAACTAGATCGGGAATGGAGCCGCAGCAATGCTTTTCCGACAAGTAAAATTCTCCGCGGGTATTTTGTTTGATGTGGTAATGCTTCACGTGGGGATGTGGCCTACGGCAGAGCAAAAGATCTTAAATTATCGGCAGTCGAAAGAGGTGTGAAACAATTTAGAGCCAGTCAGTGGAAGCCACTTGTACTGTTAACTTACACTTTCGTATAAAGTGAGAGCGTGTAAAGCCCTTTCGTCGACGAGTTACGAACGACAAAACAGCCCTCTTTATCTTCTTGTTTCAGCAATGACTCGGCGCGTTGTCTTGACATATCACCTACGTACCATCTACAACAGCAAGTGGGACCATTTTTTTACCCTATCATGTACCACCTTACGATTTATATGAGATCACTATCGAGCGCTGTGTTCAAGTTCTGTTGAAAAAATAGTTGACTGATAAGTGATAACTCGAAAAATGGAAAAAGCAATAAGGTGTTATGAGATCCAAGAGATACTAAATTCGCGGTGATTTGTAGGAAAAGATTATACGCCAAACTTACTCGTATTTCTGCAGTCCCAATAATTCCTTCTCTTTAACGTAGTTGCTAGGAATATAGCCGATCGATCTGCAATTAAATGCGCGTCATATAGCTTTCTGCAACCCGTTTTTCACTACGTATGCATATAAGTAAACAATCTGGCTATTATGAATAATTATCGATGATTATACAAGAATACCATTAAGATTATTGTTTGCAAATTGCGCGCGTACAACCAATTATTTTTCCACGATTGTCGGTTAATCGTTGCTACCGCGACGTATGTGTAAAACAACAAAAACATGTATAGATAAGACATAGCTAACTCGTTTGCCGTAAAGAAGTTTTAAAGAAGAGCCAAGTTGTGCAAATGCAATTTTTGAAGCTATTTCAAAAAGAATTATATACCCATTCTCGTCCTTAACTTTCCACCAATGCTCCTGGGAATCGTCCAAGACCTCGTACTCTGCACCCTAGACTCGTAAAATCAAAAGTAATAAATATTCTATTTTCAACTTAATACAATAGTATGTGTTATACATTATATTATATGTATATTGTAATAATTTATAACTTTCCTCTTTTTGTTATATACATATGTACATATACATGTCAATATATATATATATATATATATGTAATTTTGTTTCATCTTTACCTTTTCAAGAGACAAATCGCCGCCTTCGATGGCTCGAAAAGGATACAGAGCCACCACAACTTTCGCCCGCAACATTATCTTTTCCTGCGAGACAAAATTAATTTGCATGGATTACGTAAAAATGCTAAGAATGAGGAAGTTTTCATTTCAACGGAACGTGGACTTACCTTTGCTTTAGAGGATGGTGTGCCGGGTGTACCACCTGGCATTATCGGAGTCGAAGGCGTTCCTGGAAAAAGAGCAAACGGGAAAAAAGATTTAGTATTGAGATTTTGATGTGACACATTTGTCTATTATACGCGCGAATCGCTTTTTTTGCCAAATAACTTAACAACGTCACATTTTCTATGTTTATCCGCAAACAATTGCTTTACGTTCTTCACATATCATCGTATCACGATATTGTTGTAATATAAATGGAATCCTTGACAATTTTGTGCGATATAACAATTAATAATTACTATTTTATTAAAGCGTCCGTCGTTTAATTTCACAGAAAAAAGCGGCCCGGACAGCGACGTTTCTCCTCGCGTGGCAACGAACGACGGGAGCTAAACGGAACATCTCGACTGACGAGCACTACGCTGATCTGACAGCATACCAAACCGTGGACGCGGAGAATGATACCCCACGAGAGCAGTCTCCACCCTGTCTAGACAAAATCAATGCGACCTCAAACCTCCTACATCCCCTCTCCGGCATGGCATCTCTTCCGCACCGTCCAGCGTTCGCACGTGCAACGCTCGTCGCGTGTACTGCGTGCGCTGCATCGCTGCCGGCTGCATCCTCGCACAAAAACGATATTATACATGTCTACCTATATATCTGTGAAATCGACAAACTCTCTCTGCGTGCGGATTTTCGGTGCCTCGCAACTCAATCAAAACTCAATCAAAACGATTGCCGTCGCGGTTATTTTAAACATGTTTCTTTCTGCGCCGAGACACTACAAGTGTCTCCAGATAGGTACTATTGCTATTGTTTAAACAGCATCAGCTTCTCTCGTCGCGTGACATCTTGCATTTCAAAATGCTCCTTTAGTACTACCCTTTCCATTTTCTTTTTGGCCGAGTTTCATCACCCGAGGCAATCTCAGCAACGCAGTTCCGCCCGAGAATTTTTTCTTTGCGAAAAATATTTGAGATATCTTCGCCATGCTTGAGCAGTCTCGTTTTCTGCCCATTGGAGAAAATTTCCCCAATACAAATTGTTGTACATCTTTTTGTAACCGAGGTTAGAATTAAAAGAAAAAGAAGAAACTTAGCGCTGGAAATACTTGGCACGAGTTATACGAGTTGGTGCATCATATAATACGAGTATTTCAATCCTTTAGAGTTTACTCTGCTCTAAGTTTTTCAAAGTATATTTTTCGGATTATATTGAGAAAATAAAGAAAAACGAATATGTTTCATTAAGCAATTTTCTTAACCGAGAGGGAGAGATTTCTTCTTTAATTTAAAGCATTGTTAATTTTCGCAGGATACAAAGATATCCTCGAATTTTTCACGCAATATCTCAGTGAATGGCTTGAATCACAGATTCATAGAGAAGCTTTTGGAAGAGCGCCGGGAGAATCTCAAGGATATCTCGCGGTAATGAAAGTCTCGCCGGGATACAAAGCCCGCGACGTGAAAAGAGGGTAACAAAATCCGCCGGAGGCGACGACGCATCTCTTTTCGGTGCATCTCCGAAAATATTCCGACTTTCGCGGAAATTCAATAAATGGGAGAGCCTTAAGAAGGAGAGATAAACGTCACGTCTGAAATAGCGACGTCGTGATATTGGAATCGACTCTCAGCATTGATTCTAATATACAACGCGGTGTATGTAGGTGTATTCTGTATTGTTAGGTTAGAAGAAATATTTCGTTATCTGGTCAACGAGACTTAGTACCGCGCATAATATAAGTATATATCAAGAAATATTATACTTAATTTCTATCTCACGAGCTGCCGTTAGTTCGAGTCTCATTAACTTCAGTATGTGTTTCTCAATATAAAGAATATAAATCATATTAAAACATATAATAATATGATAACGCATATAAGGTATAGCAATGAAGGATTTATTTATTTCTTTCTTATATTGATCATGTGAAAAGAATTATACGCTGATCTACATACAGGTAGATCCCTATTCCACGATGACCTTAACGTCTGAGAGGCCACTGACTTCCTTGCCGACTTGTCCGGTAAAATTGTTACCACTGAAGTAAAGATATCGCAATTTGACGAAATAAGCGAAAGCGCCATTATCCACCGTCTGGATGTTATTGTCGGACAGGTTGATCTCTTCCAGATTGGAGAGTCCAGTGAAAGTGCCGATTACAATGTGAGACAGTTTGTTTCCGTTTAGTCGCAGTAGTTCCAGTTGTGACAACTCTCGGAACGTTTCCGGCTCGAGAGCACTGATCTCGTTCCGCTGAAGAAAGAGTCTCTTCAAACCAACCAAGTCACAGAGAAGCGCCCTGGAGACGCTAGTTATCCGATTGTCATTTAAGTAAAGAACCTCCAACTTGTTCGATCCTCGAAAGACACCGCTTGGCAAGTCCACCAGCCGATTGTGGTCCAAGTGGAGGCGATTCAGTTCGGTTAACACGGCGAAAGTGCCCGGGGCGATGCGAGTGATATTATTGTTATTGAGCCACAGATATAGCAGCTCAGGATTGAGATTTGAGAAGGATTCCGCCTCGACCGCTTCGATATCGTTGTAACCCAAGTAAAGCCACATCAGACTCGATAGGCCGGCAAACGAGTCTTTCGGTATCGAATTGATCTTGTTGAAGATCAACGAGAGCGACTGCAAGTGTCCCAATTCCGCGAACAAGTGCTCCGACAACGGTACCACGTTATCGTCCAAGTGGAGACGCTCCAAGTTGAGCAAACCGCGGAAGGATCCCCTCTTCAACATGGATATCCGGTTGCCTTGATTCAGATACAGGTGCGTCGCCGTCACGTTCTTGAAGGCATCTTCTCGAATTGCCAGAAGATTTAGATCGCTGATGTCCAATCGATCTTCGAAACGGCGTTGCGTTACTTCGACGAGCACCCCTTTGTACTGGCAGATGTTGTAACCGTCGATGATTCGACAGGTCGGCTCCTCTTTCACCTCCGATGAGGCCCTCGCCGAGAGGAACAGGACGACTTGCGAGAAAAGCGAAAGAAATCGCGACATCGTGAAAGAGACCAATTGAATGTCGACTAATCGAATGACACGGGTGCATCCGCTTTATAAGTACATTGTATATTGTGTTCTCTATGCGGAGAGAGAGAGAGAGAGAGAGAGAGAGAGAGAGAGAGAGAGAGAGTGTATACGCGATTAGATAGTGTGTGACTTTTGGCACTGATTATCGCTACATTCTCGGAAGGAGAGACGGTTTCCGCGCGCGGATACGAAATGTCAAAGTTGAAGATAAGAGAAACATGGCTTCAATTTTCATAAACGACGCGAAAATTCCTCGTATTATTAAATGCTGCACTTGCGTTTTCCCCAGAGTGTAGACTCCTGTTTTTTCCAATTCAAATTTATTTCGAGAGCGTCGAAATACCTAAATTAATTATTATAAAACACGTGATATTTAGCGAAGCTCTTAATAATCACAGGTTCGCTTTAGCAAACCGCACGCATTGTCGATGGCAGGTTGTTCGCCACTGATTATCTGTAACGAGCAGTAGAAAGTAGCAGTAATAGTCCAGTGAGCACCCGGGACAGTGAGGCGATCGTGGAAAGTGGAGTGAAACGGTAGAAAAACAAAGTTGTATAAGAACGAGCATCCCGAAATGGATAATCCGTACCCAAGGTAACCATCTTTTTCAATATAATCCAATATTATATTTATGTATTTATGATAACGCAACACATTATCAAATATTTATTGACGCACACATAAACCTAGTATGTGTCTATTTCCATCAATTGATTGACTTTAATCTCAGCTTATAACTAACTCTTTATCTTTTTCCAATTCTCAGAACTAGAAAAAAATTAAAAGCAAGTTTAGCGAAATTAAAGTTCATCTACATTAGAAATGGATATTAAAGATGTTATTATGCACACTATATGTATGAAAGATGTCTCAATATCATGTTTAATATGTCTTACATCCAGTGCTGTATTAAAGCATGTATATACTGAAAAATAAAGATGTTACATCAATCGCATTATTTCAATTAAAAATAATCTTTAATAACAGAGCATTAATGAAACAAATAGAATGTTATTTAAACAAGAGCGTATTTGTTTCATTAATATAATAGCATTATTGTGTGAATTGACAAAATTATTTTCAATTAAAATAATTCTGTTGATACACCATTATTTTTTTCAGTGTGCTGAAAAAAATGGGCTATAGTCCAGGGCGGCAAATTTTAGAAAAAAATTTTGTTTTACACACATAAGAACCCTACATTCGCGGTCGAAACGGATCTTAGTGCTTAATACATATTTCGTGTGTGAATTTATATACATTCTGATTCTGCATATCGGGCGTCAAAATGTTTTTCCGGACTTAAAACGTATTCATGAGCAGAAACAAAATAATAATATTACTTATTAAATTGTACAGGCAATTAATTTTTGATGCCAATATGCATTTTTTAATAAAAAATATTAATTGTCATACGTTGATAAAATCTAAAAAAACTGCGAATAATTTATTGCGAAAAATATTCGGTCGAGAATCGAATCCGGATCTCTCGCTTGCCGGCCGGATATCCTTGCAGTTAGATTACCGAGATCTTAGTAATATTCTTCGTAATGACTAGTAACTAATTTTTTTTAGTTGAGCATTGAAATAATGTTGCTTATAAATGATTTAAAGTCTAGGTAGACAAGATGATTTATAGTGAACAAAAATTAAATTCGCTTTCTGTTCTCATTGAGAAATAACTTATTATTATATAAATTTACATATTTTTGTTGTGTACATTTTGCTATTTTTATACTTGAAACAAATAAATAATTTACGAAAATTTTGTCAAATCAATTCTTAAATTAATCTAATATAACTTTTAAAAAAACTTTACCCAGATGACATCACATCTTAAAAGGACACTCGAAATATTAATTCAATCCATGGACGCAAAGTAGGTTAATGCGGCTCTGCTTATATCCCGATTTTAAATATATGTGCTATCTGGGAACTCTTCCTAGGGTTGCTAACTCTCGGTCGCACGAAAAGAGTACATTGATTGCACATAAAAAGAGTAAGTATACTTAAAAAAAAAAAAA